CAATGGGCTTGATAACAACGGTAACGGGGTTACTCCGGCGCGACCTACACCGAATAGGGTCAATAGGAGGAAGCGGGCTCTTCCCGGGGGAAACTTTGATAATCCACAGGATACATCAGATGAAGGACCCAGGCCTGTCAGCATCTCACCCCCTGCGGTATGTGGTATATTTGTGCTGCGCAGTTCCCCCGATGCCTGATCGACAGGATAACGGAGGCATCAGATGGTTTTTTTCGGGCATTTTCGGAGGGCTAACGTTTAAGGCAGAGAAAGATGGCAACTGGCCCAGCTTCAGGATCGTTTAGTCTTACGAATATTGGGTATCTCGGGCTTTCCCAGCAAGCCGGAATTTCATTTGAACCTTTTCAACCTTTTGCATTACAACAAGTTCAGCTGCCATTGACCCTTAGTGTCGATCAGATTCCTGCAAAGTCTCGAGTCGAAACTCAGATTCTCGTCAAGTTACACCTGTCCCCCTTTCCGAAATCGGTGACCAAACTACACCTTCCCCGCCATTGCATCTCGAAGCCGAAGTTATATGCAAAGCCGCCCGTGAAGAAATCGCCCGACATGTTAGAGCTACATGCGAGCCTAGTTTGTGCTAGTGCTATGAGGAAACCGGAATTATTGCAGAGAGCCTTAGCCCGGGCTCGTGGCGAAGGGTCGCAATCAATTAAGACGGAATCGCAGCGGGTCGAGGGAACCGAAGGGTCAAGTGGGGAGGATTCTGATAACAAGGACTCGTTATCGAGGTCTGACAAATCATCGTCGGATGAGGAGAGTCCTTTGATGGGTGGTGAAGTGAAGATATGTCTGGGGTGTATTTCGAGGGAGAGGAAACGGGCTGCAAGAAAGAAGCCCAAGCAAATCAAAGAGGAAGAGGAATGGATGATGGACGAACCGAAGAGGGCCGTGGTCTTTAATAACCATGAGGTCCGGGAATGGCTGCCAACTTCCGGAATGCAATCTCTTAATGGCGGCATGGACGGTAGTGGTGTGTTGGGCTCGTGGGAAGATGGCATGATTATGGAACTTCACATGAGGCTTGCCTGCTATTGTCGGCACCAAGGCGAAAAGGAAGGATTCAGGTGAGATTTGCACATGGCGTTGCGGTTTAGTCGGAGAAGATATTGACATCTGTTTCAAGGGTTATCTTTACCATCAAGAACCATGAAGATGTAGTGATTGCACAGCAAATCACTAGCTCCATACTGATTACAGATGATCACAAGTCCAGTGCTGCAACTCCTACGATAGGTGGTGGATCCCAGGATATCAAACTTGTCGGAACTGGGTATCAGCCTCCCCAGAATCCGCTACCCCCAAACATTTTTGGCGCCCCCGCGTCCGGTGTTTCATCGCACGACAACCCGCAAAGCTTCAATGCCACGGACTCTAGAGCTCATGGGTCGACGCCTCAATCACCACCTTTTTCACAAAACTCGTTTTCCCCTCCCCCCCCTTTTGGCCGCAATATGTCTCCCGCATCCCCTATGGCATCTACTGGATCGCATCAGCACTCGCCTCCACCTCAGCTGCACAGCGGAAACCCCTCTACCAAGAAGAGGAGGATAAACTCTGTTCCCAAGGTGCCAGCTGGTTTGACTATGACTCGAATGGACAACCCACGCCCTTCGTTCCAACAACAGAATGGGCCCCTGATCATGAACAACCAGCCGTCCCAACTTCGGGCGCCCGCTCTCAACCCCTTCCCAGCGGCCCAATCTCCTCAAGCATTTTGGGCCGAGGAGCCCATGACTCCATCTGGGATGAGTGATCATGCGGGATTCCAGTTCGATTCGACCCCGAATACCAATTTTAATGGACTCGATAACAGGAGCCAATTTGCCTCGCCTCAATCCGCCCGCCCCAGCCGTGCCCCCAGCCCATCTCCCCAAGAAGCCTTCCTGCGGGCTCAGCAGGCTGCACCTCGAATCCCTATGCATCCACAGAGTCAAGTGAGGCATGCCCAAACACATAATTTCCAGGCTGTTCCTCCAGAGCCTGAGGCCAGCCAGATTCCGGAAATTAGCCGACTGGTCCCCCAGGAAGGGACATGTAGGGGTGGAATCGAAGTGACTGTACTTGGGCGGAGTTTTGTACCAGGGCTAACAGTCCTTTTTGGCGGGACGCCAGCAAGTTACAACTTTTTCTTTAGCCCAACAACTATGGTCTGCTTATTGCCTCCCAATGCTTCCCCCGGGCCAGTAGTTGTATCAATCAGAGATGTTCAACTTGGGGCAGGCGCGGACAAGGTTCGATTTTTTACATACATTAATGATGCTGACAAGTCTTTGATGGAGCTTGCTCTACAAATTGTTGGGATGAAAATGCGGGGGACAATGTCTAATCCCCAGGACATTGCACGGAGTATCATTGAGGGTGACACAGGATCCGCATTCAGCCAGGGATCCCCGCGCGCCTCGCAGGATGGGACTAGCGGCTCCCAACAACATCAACAATACCTCCGACGTCTAGCAGGCGAGAGTGGCTTTGGACGCCACGGACTCGAGGGGACCCTGCTAAAATTCTTGGACGCTATGGACCTCGACGAGAGCCCTTATCCCTTCCGCCTCGATCTGACAAACAAGGCGGGCCAGACCATGCTTCACTTGGCGTCCATGCTTAATCTGGGGCGGTTTGCCGCTGCCCTCTTAGCGAGGGGAGCGTCGGTCCAAGCTGCTGATGCTAACGGGTACACTCCTTTACATTTTGCAGCACTGCATCGCCATCTTGAGATTTATAGAAGACTTTTGCGTCACAATGCAAATCCCAACTTACGGACGAGAAATGGAGATACCGCGATAGATCTTGCCTTCGAACAAGGGTCTTCGAGGGGGGGATCGCAGCGTGATTCCCGTTCCCGGCATCAGAGCCGTGCCAGCTCTACTTCATCCGAGAATAACTTTGGGAGCCGGAGCAGAGCGGGTAGTTCGGCATCTCTTAGTGTTATGTGGGACCCAAGTGGTGTGGAGACCGGACGTCAAAAATATGTTGGGGTTGATGATTTCTTTGGCGCTACGGACGAGAGTAGTAGTGGTGATGGCGATGATAGCGTGGATGATCGCTGGATGCACCCCAGGAGAGGTAGCCGTCATGAGACTGCCGCGGGCAACGCTTCGCTTGGTGACAGCGTTCTTGCGACAGACCGAGCTCCACCTGTGCCTGGCGTCATGGCGCCCCCTTCTGGGGGGCTTGCTCCGGCGGCTGCTGTGACGGCCTGGAGGGAGCAGATTGCTGCTAGCATCCAAAACCTGCAAAACCTTCAGTGGAATCTCCCGGCAATGCCAACTGCTGCGGATTACCAGCATATCTTCCAGAACCCTATGGCTGCTCTACAGAACCCTATGGCTAGGTTCCATGCGCTAATGCCACCATCGCCATTTGCGCAAGACAGGGATGTAGTCGACAGTCCAGAGATCAAGAAGGGTCAGTACACATGGTGGGAACTCTTTAGTGCTCCCCAGGCGCCTCCCGCATACGACGAACTGTTCCCGCATCAGCCTAGCAGTTCCCGTGGTCCTCCGGGAGATATTATCTTGGAGAGAGGCTCGGCGGTAGATAACGCAAAATTACTAGAAGAGGAAGAATTTGTGCCCCCCGGATCATCCGGATCCTCGAGCTCTGCATCTTCACTCGACGTCAACGAGCTGAGATACCGCATCGCAAGGGGCGTACAAGACATGACGAAGGAGCAACAAGATGAGTATCGCGCTCATGCCAGGAAGATGAAGAAGATTGAGAGCGATCGTCGTCTGTACTTTTTCTGGGTAAGTTGAAGCCTTCTTCCATCCACTCTTAATAACGTTACTGACCAACGACCAACAGCTCCCCGCGTTGATACTAATCCTCATCGCCATGGCAATGAGTTACGGCCCAGCAGTCTGGTACGCGTTGAAGGTTATCGTTTTGTTTGTAAAAGCGGTATTCGAGGATCCTTCTAGCATTAAGGAGAGCATGGCTGCAATGGCGTCGGGCGTGGCTGTGGCAGGCGGGTTTCTGGAACCCAGGGTAGGGTAGTAGTACCTGCTGTATGATTTCTCTTTAATTTTTTTGGTTCTTGTTTTTTCAATTACCACTTTTGTCTGGTGTCGGAGCGGAAACTTGTAATAACTTTGTGGACGGGTATGGGGATTTCCTTTTAAAACAAGAGAACCGACTGAACGGATGTGCTTTCTTCTTTTTTTTGTCTTATCATATCATCACAAATACCTTTTTTCTACATGCGCGGTTTAGCATAAGCCACTTTATGTAGCTCCCCCCCCAAATCTTTCCTTTTACCTTTTCTTATTACGATTGTCCGGGAACGAACGGTTGGTACTCATTGGTTTTTTGCCTTTATCTTATCTATTTTGCTCTGCAGCGCGTATGGGAAACGGGATATATATAGCGGTCATTCTTGTTTCTTTCTTCTTTCCACTCTTATGTTTCAGGATATGGTTTGGCGAGGCTAGGCGATTAGCTTAGTTAGTTTAGTTAGCTTGGCTCAGTTACCGGCATTTAGGTTTACAAGTACGGATGGTTATCAGGAATCATATCTTACGTATGCCGCCATGATGGGGTCCTTTTTCATAACTTGGAAACTCCGGACGGGAGGGAATTGAATCCAATTGTTAGTGCGGAGGTGTGATGCGCGTTTTTGAGGGTATTGTTGGTGGCATTTGAGCTGGGTTAGGCCAGATTGCGAGAAGATGATGAAAGGGAGGAATAGACGGACGCCGGCGCGCTAAGCTTACGGTACAGTATTGGGAGAGATGATTGCGAGGATGGCGCGTAGACTCTCCAGGTTCGTCACGCAAAAAATCCAGGGAGCAGAGTGCCCACAAATACGATACAGCAAGGGCTGCGGCGACATCCTCTCGTCCTGCTGCTCCTGGTGAAGTGACTGGCGTATACTTGTAGTACCGGTATGATATGATATGATGCTAGTATCATAACTCTAACCTCCACCTGAAGAGAGCTAACAAAGTGCCAAACTGTGCTTCCGCTTTAGCGGATGGGGTCGCGTGGCCTAATGGTTAAGGCGCTGGTTTTCGGCACCAGAGATTGGGAGTTCGAGTCTTCCCGCGATCGTTTATTTCTTTTTGTTTATAATATTATTATATGGTACCGGTACCGTACTTGTGCCATCGATACAATCCTCATGTCCACTTACAGTACCGGGTGGATCGTTTACTTGCCCAATCGGAGACGGGGAATTGTTATTCTGTTCGGGGTGGTGTGCGTAAATAAGTATTCTCGCTAATGTTGGCTGAGGATCTGTTGGGAAACGTTGGGGCGAGTGAGGGGTTGTGCTGGGGTTTGTCATGGTTGTGGGTGCAGGTCTATTAGGGTGGGTTAACTGGGGCTTGTGGCGGAAGGCTTGGTTGTATGATACGAGTATTTATCGATTAGACTGCCATATGCTCCGGTACCCGAATACCGAGGTTGGTGTCGCGCTGCTCATGGGTATCGTGGACCGGGTTGAATAGCGGAGCGCGGCCGCGAGTACCTGTAAACTGTTGGGATGACGCACCAAGCATCGCGGGGTACGATAGTCTACCGTAATTGGGCACCGAGGCTTGGAAAGCGGTGGGGGCCCGCTGTCATTTGGCTTTCCCATTCGTTCGTATCGGCACTGGGAAGCAAGTGCACTGTATACTCAACTGGTCTTGAGGGAAGGCTGCATATTCATTCGGTTGAAGACAGCGAGAGAATGACTTTACGGACTCCCGACACTCCCAGGCCGGGACGCCCGAACCCTCCGGTCGAAGGATGGATTCGCCTTTTCCGCGGAAGGTTTCGACCCGTGAC